TATTACCAAGGTTACCTATTTAATATTTTAAGATTTTTACTTTCGGATATTTTTTCTCTGTATATATTACAAATATGGAAATTTTTTTACCAAATAGAAGATACTCCAAAAACATATACTTTGATAAAATGTGCACTATTTATATTTTATATTTTAAAAATAATAAACACAACACGTTTTCCAGATTGTAGGTATGTTTCTTAGCAAATATCATATTTCTTCRTTTACAAATAATTTTTTATCATCCACGAGAAAACATTTTCAAGACACAACACATAGATATTAATAATCTTACAATAATAAAACAAAAACTTATTTTATAAACACAAAGTACAAATAATAATAGTAATTATTATTATTATTATTATTATTATTATTATTATTCATGGTAATATTATATTATATATAAGTACATAATTGAGCGATATATAATATATATTATGATAAGTACGGGAAAACGAACGTCAAACAACATAATATAGGTTCACAAATGTTTTATAAAATATAATCATATTGTTCTTCAAACAACGAGAAACGAAACCCGAAAACCTCAACCACAATCAATAAAATTAAAATTATTTGTAAATTATATTTATTTTTTTAACAATAATAAATTCATAATATTATAATGTTAACGTTTAGAGTGCACGTTTGTTATACCCCGGCTTATTGAATACATGTATTCTGTATATACTATAGTAATCTACAACTTTTTGGTCTTAAAAGTGTAAAATATCATGTTTGTATTTCATGAGGTGATAATGATGAAAACAAACACAACGTTTACATAAATAAATTATATAATATTTTGAAAACCTAATAAAGTAAGTTCYTCTGATATATAATTATAATAATCTTAACTATGTACACGAGTTAACGAACGAAAAAAAACATAAAATAATAATAACCAAAGATAAAAATAATAATAATAATAATAATAATATGAGCATTTTTCCACAAAAATAATAATAATAATAATTAAAATAGTAATAATAATAAAAACATTAATTTTGTAGACAATAAAATGTCGTTCTATATACATGGAGACAGTATTATACGTCACACATTTAACGTAAAAATACCTCCAGATAATATCGTAATAATTATTATTTTAATAACAATAATTACTATCATTGTTGAAGTCGAAATATGTCGACGCAGAAACAAGTGACCAGTTGGTTCGTTCGTACAACCATCGTCAAATTTTAATATATTATTATTATATGACATTATGATAGTTTCCGTTATTCAACTTGTCAACCACGCGCTCGCACATAGGTTTTATAGTTGTAGTACCTAGTCGGTTTATTGATAAGAGACAGAGTGAGGGAGTTCAGTATTTAAATAATATATTAAAATAATGATAATATAATAATAATAATAATATAAAAGTAATATTAATAATAATGACAAACTCATTGGATCATCAAATCATATACATTATAATATTGTATCATTATTATTTTATATACAATTCGCAATAGATTTCGCATTATCTAGAGCGGCGGCACGACTACGTGGGTGGCACCCTAGCGATGGGTTTTCAGTTTCTCCGTCTAGTGGTATCTGCCGAAACTATTCGTCATCGGCCACGTAGCCGGCGTTGGCCTTGGCCGCGGTTCCATTACCGTTGGACAACACCGTGGTGCTCATGGGCGCGGGTGGTATCGTCTTCTTGGGCTTTTTCTTTTCGTCCTGGCTGTAGTGTGCTGTCCCTTCGAGGGACATGGTCTCTTGCCGGTGCGAGTTTCGCACCAAACACCCGAGAGCCAACAGTAACAGAACAGCTCCCGAGACGAACAACGCGTACTGCAGTGCAGCTTTGGCAACGGGAGGCGTCTGTGTGGCTAGCTTGAGCAGTTGGATCACGTTGTCGGGCAACTCGTCGATGCCCTGAATTTGAACAAAGAAATATTATTATTATATTTGACAAGCATGTTTTATGGTATTATGCAGTTAATATAATATTATAATATCGCATAGATTTTTCAATTAAAGACATTATTGATCACCCGACAATGTTTTCATTTTATCAGTAATGAAAATCGAATATTACGACATTCATAATCAAGTTCAGTGGTTAAGGGGACCGAAAAATCCTGTCCTGTCAACCATTAGCTTATAGCATCTATAATTTATAGTGAATTTCTACACGATTTATACTAGGTGAAAATCACCCATAACGTTCTTCACGAATATAAATACACTCATTTCTATTTATCCACACGAAAAAAATACAACCATAATATTATGTAAGTCCATACACAAATGAGAAAAACTTAAATGTGTTATTTCYGACGTATTWTCTATGTTTATTTTCTCAGCTTGATTCATTTTTATGGATTCAATTGAACGGCATAGTTCACATGCCCATAAATAGTTTATCAAAATAGTTTTGCGTGACAAGAATCTCCCGAACCACAGTTATAGTTGTTGAGAAACTACATTTTTGTTCCGTAATATATTTTTTTTAAAGTCATTATTAATTTGCTTTTAAAATTTTACTATTTTTTTTTTTTTTTTATCGATTATATCGAAAAATTTAATACACTGATATAGAAAATATTGTCTGGTGTGGCATGTATTTGATTCTTTAACTTAGTACTTATGAATGTAGCCTGAGTAGTTCTTTTTTGAATCAAGGACACTTATAAGATAGGTACTTACTGTTTTGATTTAATAAACAAACATTTAAACATATTTAATTTTGATMATTTTAATAATTTGTGTCAATATATTATTAAAATTTCCTATTTCAAATCCCTTAAAAATTTGGTGTATGCATTATATTTTATGTAGGTAGGTTTGATGACTTTGTATAAGGTATAACATTTTGATTGTCATCATCGTAGTTTCGGGAATCCATTAAACTGTCGCCCGGTAAGCGATGACATGCGAAATTACACACACTAATGTTTATTTACTACTCACACAATAACACTGATCAAATGTACGCGTGATTTGAATTGCCTAAACATTACTCTTTAAAACATGGTATGCTGGAACCCCCTTAATATTATATTATTCACGGATACAAATTTGAAATTACCGCACTAGCGYCTAGATTAAAGACAGACTAGAGTAAAATCATATTGACCTAACGCGAATCAATAAGAAAACGGCTCAAGTTACATAGGCTAGAAAAGTATCATATGCATTGAGTACCATTTAAAAATATTATCAATTAATAATGTCATCTAAAAGACTACAACACTCACCTCTTCGAACCACATGATCGGAAATACAATGTCGGGGAATGTGGCCACTTGTTTGATGTCAACTACTTGACTTACGGCTAGATTAATTTGCACACGTGCTCTGGCACGCATAGCCACTCCCATTTCCTGTACAAACGAAAATAACAAGTTATTTTTGTATGTAGTTTTAAAGCATTTACAATTTAATGGACACTCACAGGTTGCACGTCAATGTAAAACTCGTGGCGGTCAGCATCTGGCTCATCCATTCCGTGAACGGCTTCCCGGAGTCGTGGATCACCCATGTAAAAGTGAGGGAAAGACAGCAGCACCGGAGAGTCTGCAAACACAGCGTATATATTAGTACTTTAGCATTTTAACTCACGAAGGTTTCTATCGAAGTGTATGGATTGAGTGACTCACCATATTGACACAAGCTCACATTGAATGTGCCATGAGGCGCGCATTGTGGCGCATTCATTTTAGTTGACACCATAGGCATTGCAGTGGTTGAGCTGCTGGTGCCAGAGGTACTGTTTCCATTAGAACTGCTCAATGAAGGACAGTAGCATCGATTCTCGGGCTCATGGTCAGGGTCGGCAAAGGCTCGGTGATCAGGTCCGAATCGGTACGCTTTCACTCCTCCTTTAGCTTCAACTTGCTTCTTAAACCTATGTTTTGAATTAATAGGAACAAACATCAAATAAAAATATGAAATTGTAAATTGACTGTATATTAAATTTTCCATAAAACAGTGAAGCCATATGCTAACTATATCGCCAGCAAATTTAACACCAATAACAAATAATCGTAATGGTAATGTCTAGAGCGTTAACATAATGCGCGAAGAAAATTAAGGTCGTTATTCTCTCACCGGCCCGGATACATCAAAATTATATTTACTCGTATTAATACTATATAAGTACGTATTATAAGTTCAGGACTATTTTTTTTTTTTGAGAGAGAGGGAATAATGAATCTAATAAAACAAATATTTTCAATATTAGATGTAGACACATTTTGATTCAATACGTCTGCTATGTGTTTCATAAATCCTAATATAACTATAAAGACTTGATAAATATTACAATACGCTATTTGYTTTCTTTTAAAAATGTGTGTAATTACAAGCTATTATTGGAGTATTGATATTTCAGAGCATCGATTGTGGGAAGATGAATGAATGTATGAGTCCAATTTAAATAACCCATACTCAATACCTGCCCTAATACATTRAAATAATATATATTGGAGATTAGCACTCACACTAGGGGTAGTTTCCGGCACATATCCTTGTCGAAGACGTGTAGAATAGTGTCTGGTTGGATCCTAGGAGGGAAAAGGGAACCATCGCTTCCACCAGACATACGGTTGCATGAATCAGTGGTCCAGTGCGATAGATGCGTGCGCCCGTTGAACTTGTCCAGCGCGGCGAACAGCCGAATGTCTGTAGCTCCAGTGAACACAGTCATATTATCACGTGAAGTTCCATTTTTCTGTTWTCAGAGCGAGGTAATAGTAGAAGTCAGACGGAAAACCCAGCGTGGCATGCAAATAAAAACAATACGTTTTGATTAGTAAATTATAACTGTGTGACACATAAACGAATCATATTATAAATAATAATGCGGTGGAGGCRGTGAGTGTGTACAATATATATTTCAAAACAGCAAACAACAACAAACTGACAAACAGTGAATAAGTGCACGACGGTTGAGAAAAAAAAATATTAAAACCAATAGTGCAATGAAGACTGCTGTGAGCCGGTGTCTGTGGTTAGGTGGGCAGCTTAAAACCAATGGTGGGATGAACACGAACATAGCTTGCGCTTGTCTGCAGGTTTGTGGCCAAATCAACTTCTAGTAACATAGCTGTGGCTAGGATGCACGATTTTGATAAAAWWTTTTGATCCTGACCGGCCGTCCCATTAGCGACATTCTAGTAATCTTAGCGGGATGCACCACTTGATAGCCGCGCTCCGGTTGCCAGTTGTAATCCTTAGCCATTGGCACCGTCTGGATAACAGTCGGCCATTGATTTTCACCAAGTATAATTTTGGTGCCGGCCGACAGAATTCCGTCAAGCAGCGGACCGTCCACGGACAGCAGCCGATCCAACCGCAGGTATCCCAACAGTTCGGGTAGCGTCTTCACGTCATACTGGTCAACAATGTACTGGAGCTATGCGGTGTATACAGGACTCGGTATTATATACATAAATTTAACAATAGAGTCGTCCAAAGCAGAGAGGTGATCATGGGAAWATATACTTTCAGTAGATTGTAAATTATTGAATTTATGTATTTTTTTTATTTTATTTGATCTATATCACATTAGTGTTCATAGTAATGGTAATAAATCGCATAAAGTGGTATGAAGCGAATGATATCTTGTATAAATGCGTTTCAGCGCTTGCTGAAAATTAGTCTCTAGCGTTGATCGGTCACATTTATCTTACTAACATAATACGCATGTCATATAGAACCATATTAAAGTTACCATTGCAGGTACCGCAGTTTTTAATATAGAGAAATCGTTTCTTAGTCTCCATCCCATAAAATATTTCCTGGGGAGTACATGTCTATAAACTAGAGATAGGTAGACGATTATTATATATTTATATTATTACATATTTCGTTTAATATGTTTCTAGGTAATACTTTCAAAGAAAAAATATCCAGATAGAAACAAAATGGTGTTTTCTAAAAAAAAAATATACATCTAATAGTTATATTTCTCTCCTTTTTCAATAGCAATAGGATTATTTTCGATATTTAAAAGTAATTTGAAACAATAAGTATTTCACGGGGATTTATATAGGAAACTTAAATATATTATTTCAAACCATAGTAGGAAGTATCAATATTTCGAATGCATATTAAAAATTTAACAAAATTTGAAACTAATTTCGCGTGAATACTTTATATACTGTTGTATACCAAACAACCGTAACGTACTGAAATTTCAATTTGAATCCACGGAAATAATATTAAATGGTTATAGAGAGGAAACAGATATTTTTATATTTTAAAACTATGGCTACAACAATTGTTATAGATACCGACCCCATACAGCAGACCAAACTCTTCGTATGGCAGCTTCTGTTCCTTGGGCACCACGTCTTTGGCCAGTTTCAACAGTGGATCCTCGTAACCCCAAAGCAACTGACCGACGCTCACCTCGACGAACGGTTTCACCTTAAGGATGTCCATAATGCTGGCCATGGCCAGTCTCAAGAACCGCGCGGCGTGTTTGCTCTGTGACGTGGCTGACTGTAATACATTAGAGTGACAATGGTTATAATAATAAATTATTTATGATATATTCAACTTATTTACAATATTATGAGGCAAATCTGGTAAATCTGTAAAACTGTGTAGGTGGTACGATATAACATAGATTACAACTTACCAACATCGGGATATTGGGTACCACGACGACATCGTCTTCGGAACCGACGCTCTGCTCGGGATCGAACCTGTACACCTTTTGCTGGTTGTACGTGAGCGTGCCATTGTCATGGAATGTCAAGTTGACTTTTTCCCACGTTTCCCTGTGGATTAAGAAAGTGGTTACAAATAATTCGTTATTGTACACTGTACAAAGTCACAACATATTGAACATATGCACATCATCCTACGGTGAAATTGTAGCAACGTGATCGATATAGTATAATGATTAATATAGATTTACCAGTATAACATATATTATTTTATATTATATTATACTCACACGTAGACGAAAGGACCCAACTCGTCCAAGATCGGCTTCTCGCGCACCTCACCCGGCGCGATCACGTTCAAAAACTCGTCGGCGTTGGTGACATTGTACACGTATACTTTTAACAGAGGTCGTACGGGTGGTTTGCGCCACATCTCGAACGTCTGAGAACCGGGCCGCAGTGTGATTTGCTATAAACGACAAGTAACAGACTTTAGTTGTTATAGTTATATATTTTAAAAATCTATAAATAATAAGAAATTATTATACAGGGTCCGTCTGAACAAACGCATGTTTTTCAAAATGATGCTATGCTTAAAGTAATTTCAGTAAAAAATGTTTTATTATATTAAAAAATGCATACGCATATGCAGTTTATTCATATGTAACAAAATTTAGGTTTTGAAAATAATGTCAGGCATATACCACTAAGTAGAGGTGTTGGCACTCGCAAAACGATCCTATCGTGTCAATCAACATCTGTCTCGAAATTTGTCTCACCACTTGAGTGATCTCGTCTTTCAATTCATCAAGGGTTCGTGGTTTGTATTGGTAGACTTTTGATTRTATGTGACCCCACCAACAAAAAATTGCATATTCTMAAGTCAAGGKAGCAAGGAGGCCACGGAATGTCCCCAAAACGCGAAATGAGCCATGTGTACGACATTATTTTCAAAACCTAAATTTTGTTACGTATAAAAAAACTTTGAGAGTAGCATTATTTTGAAAAACATGCGTTTGTTCTGACGGACCCTGTAGTGACATGCCCCAGGMCTGGGCCGATCAATAGCGGCGCTCCTGGCAAAATAAAAATGAGCGCCCCCTCCCTAAATTTAAATATATATGATTAAAATACTCACGTCATCGATAACCAACTCGACCGCCGCCGTAAAAAACGCTACCACTAGAAGGCCACCGACCAATAGGGCTACGGCTATAGCAAGTACAACCCCTAAAAAAATAAAATAAAATTATCAATTGTATTATACGATTAATTTTCTAAGGGGTAGCATAAAGTATATTCTCTATATGGTGATGGTTAGGTAAAGATATAATACGACATCGATAGACATTACGTAGTTTACATACATATTATGTCTTATAGGTAGGTACATGGTATATATATTATAGAAATAAATTTCAAATAGCAAAAACCAGGAATGCGGAACAAAAGCGGATTGTACCAGTCTAGATTTTAGTAGTGATAGTGTAGCTATAGTCGACATGAAGAAACCAACCACGATGTAGTCCTTGCCGCGGTACGCGATGTCACGAGCGCGGAAGCGGAAGTGGCGGCGGCCAGGTTACTTGCCTACTACCCGTCCATATACGTATAGAGGTATTGTGTATGAACACATATTTTCTGTGATAGCACACAGCATTGAATCACCGACAACGGAAATATGGATTTCCGATGATTTTTGATGGTACCTAACCTTTTACCACGATAAATGGCCGAACCGAAGAACTTCCGCCTTATCCAAATTATAAATATCACGCTTTTCAATCCGTACTCCGTAGTCATGGTCATCCTAGAGTTAACTGTTCAGGTTTGACGGAAAAAGTTGACGCGAAAACTAATATAATTATAGCATTATAAATAGTTTACGCTTAAATTATAATAATATCTATTGGAATAAGCAATACGATGAATCAACAAGTGTACAATTATGATGATTTATTTAAGAATAAAATTACTATCAAAATGATAACGCCATTAAAATAATACGAGTTTAACCATCGCAATAAAAAAAATTATGTGTGTCTACCACAAGTTTGGACTAAACGAATTGACCAAAGTCAAAAGTTAACTTTTTATTAATTTTGAAGTTATAATTTTTTAGTGATGGACAGGCACTAGAAACTAGATAATATAAAAATTATAGATATTCTCTGTAACAATTCACTAAAAAAAGAATATATTTTATGCTCATGTTTCCCATATTCTATTAGTTTTATTTTCGTATAAAAATAACGTTCTCGATCACATAGAAAATAAATATTATTTTACATCAACAATGCATGAGCAAATTTGATTTGTTTTTACTTAAATTTTTTAGTATCACGCCTCATAATAAGTTGGCTGCCTTGAATATTATATTTGATTCTTGGGTTTTCAGTAACATGGTAATTGATGATAGCCGATAGGCGAATATCATTTTTATATCTACTCAAGGTGAATTTGAAATGTTAATTTAAATAATGGTAAGGCAGTCAACTTGTTGTACCTCTATGTTTTCTGATAGGATTTGACCTAAAAGGTTAAATATTTACTCTCAAATACCTATGTAAAACATATAATTTTTTTTGTTATCATTTTGTAAGCAAAAATAATCTATAACTACTATTGTGTTATATCATAGCTATATCCTGAAAAAATGGGTACCTACGTTAGGTGTTATAATTGGAGGCCACGAAGCCATGTTTCTGTCGATGGTGACTTGTAATGAAACCGTGATTTATTTTATTTTTACTCAGCTAATCTTTATTTATGTTTCGTTAAAGACTTTTTTTTATCGAACTTTAAAATATGCAAATATTTTTTTTCATTTGCTATTGAAAATGGTGATAATAATTTGTTCACAAMATAAATAAACGGAATAGAACACGAACAAAAAATAACTTTAGGAAAAAGTATAGATTAATTATCTTCTTTTCAACAATATTGATCTATATATGAGTCACAACCGATGAAATGCATAAAACACAATTCGATAAAATGTTGAACCAAAATAAATATCAAATAGACTGCTGCCGTGTAGATGTATATGAAATATATGTATCTAAACATTATAACAATATTATATTGCACTGCACGTGAAATTGCCTACGTAAAACCCCTTATGAATCGTTATTCTGTTGCACCTGTAATAATTAATCTAATACCAAGTTCGATTTCGCGAATCGTACACAGGMGATGTGCGTAGAGTTTTATTTTWGCGTGTAAAATTAGAAAAATTAGCAGTTCGTTAAAAATTGAACTCRATTTGGACATGTGTATGTGCTTGTATATAATATATGTGTACTTTTTTATTATAACGAGCGTGAAGCGAATCACTTATTATTTATTAAAACTGTGCTTCTGATAATGATATACTTATTATATTATGGAAATAGAAGAGTAGAAGAGTGTCTATCGCATCGTTAGCCACTTCGTCTGTATAGGTTTGTACGCCATTTGGATCCGACGTAGATAAGTACAAACCACACGTAGCTCAACCGTAAAAACAAATTACTCCTCGGGCCGTATGCGCGAATAAGGAGTTATCTATCCCGACTTGCTAACCCGGTTTTTTTATTGGACGGG